ACCAATATTTACAGAGACCAGCGCGCCCACCAGCCCCACTATAAGAAACCACAATCTCATATATTTCTCCATGTGCATTTTACACTTTTTTTTTCTTCGTCTCGCACTCAGGAAGTTAATTAACAAAAAGGGAGTGGAGCTGGAACCTGTCCTGAAGGAATATTTGATTTGATATTTGATATGATTGGTCCGAGGATTGAAACGTATTTACAATCAAAAGCGCTGTACCTAATTTTTTTCAGTTTTATAATATAATAATCTATCTCTTTCTTTCTCTCGCTCTCTTCCCCCTTTTTCTCTCACTCCTCTGTTTCTGTCTGTGAATTATTACCATCATAATCCCAAGAATTCAAGTTAAAAACATTTCTCTTCATGTTATTTGCACTGAAATTAATCATGGGATGTGTAGTTCCCGATGTTTATAAGCTGTTGCTGCTATAAAACCACGTACTTAAGCAAAGGAATTTGTGATTTGATATTATTGTGAGACCTTTGACGATACGATATCACAGTATTTAGGTTATTGTTACATCCCTAGTATTCAGAGCATCCTAATTATTCACATTGATGAGTTTAAAAGCACTTTTTACAACTCCATAGAGCGAGATCAGAGTGGAACCTCTAGCATGCTAACAGAGCACTTCCTGACTGTCAGACGGAAAAATTTCTTTCTAATTAAATGCAAACAGTACACAGCTGATTTATTTTGACCTGAAGAACTTCTTTTACGATATGTCTATACTGGGTTGAGACAAATTTAGCTCAAATACTGATATCCATGTGTGGAGAAAGGAAAGGGATGTGAGAGGTTTTTTTTGTTATGTAAAAAATGAATATTGGAAAAAAAAAGTGAAATTTTTTGGGTGGGGGCTCTGTCAAATCCTTTTCTCCATGAAGATTTTACTGCTTTGTAGGGCTGCTCGATTATGCAAAATAAATAAATAAAATAAAATAAAAAAAATTGATGATTATTTTGGTCAATATTGAAATCATGATTATTTAAACGATTATTTTTTTGTTACTCAATGCATTTATTCAGCATTTCTTTCTCAAAAAAAACAACAACAGCAACAACAAAAAAACACTGATTATTGATCATTTATCATCAAAATGAAAATAAATATAGGCAACAAATATGAACCTTAGAGCAGTTTTGCGATGTATAAAACATAAAATGAATAAAATATATTTGAACATGAAATAAGGCTTAGAAAAATATAAATGTATCCAAAATAAACTATATATCCAACTGTTCTACAATCTCTGTATTTAAAAATAAATTAAATATACTTATTTTATTTATATTTAAAAAAAAATCCCACAAAATAAACTTTGTTAAGCTTGATTATATGAGTTTGGAGATGACACACAAATCTAAATCACAATCAAAATTCAATTAATTGCACATCCTTACTGCTTTGTCTGGAATGTTTCACAGTATGGCATTAAACCTTTCTATCTTCACGGAGACCAAACCAGACCAAGTCACAGGTCAGATCTGCGGCGAGGCGACCCCGCTCACGTCATCTTTGAGCTATAAAACCATCTGTGATTGAACTGATGTAAGGCAGAGGTGTTTAATGTCATACTGTGGAACATTACAGGCAGAGCAATGACGTATCCACAGAAACAAGCAGGTGACGGACCCCCAATCAAAAAGTTACATAGTGCAACTTAAAAAAAACAAACAAGAAGCTCACATACACGGGGAAAAAATCGAGTATAGGGCCTTTAATTTATTTGTTTATTTGTATTCAGATGTGGTTTAAATCCTTGGCATCTCAGTGCGTTGATTAAACTGTGTGTAGATTGGTTATGATAATATTGATTGATACCAGATGGCGATGATAAACAAGACACTCCAAAACGAGACGATTCAGTGTGGCGTTTACTGGTCCTTTGGGAATATACCAGTTTACACATCAACGGCGAGACTTTCTTTACACTACAAATCTGTGTATTTGAGTTAAACAACGGCTATAGCAGCTCTTGACTCCATCTGCTGGCCAGTCTTTGTTACTACGTTGAACTCAGATAACCCAATAATACAATCTGCCGTGTGTTTGCGTTATAAATCTGGTAATTCAAGACATCAGGTGTACAAGAATTGGATGAATGTTTAGAATAACAATGATCTTTAGGGCTGTAAGTGATTAAACATGACTAATTGACTACAGAAAATAATTGTAGTTGTATTTTGATAATCGTAATAATTATCTGGACTATATATTATGTTATAGTGTATCCTCTCTGTAAACATAGTGCTTAATAATAGCTCTGTCAGACTTTGTGTTGGTTAAACTATAAAATAAATGTATAGAGAAAAAATATCAACCCAGTATTTTTTGAAATATGTTTGAATATTTACAATAACAGTGGTATTTAGGACTAGGGGTGTGCAAAAATATCAAAATATCGATATATCGTACTGCTTAATACGATATGATACAGTATTGCGGGCTGCTGTGTGAAGAGTATTATTCGGTATGTAAGTGTTAACCTCTTTTGTGACATATGTAAGTCGCACTTTTTGGGGGAAATTCATTTTATAAAATAAGAGACCAGGAACCGACATTTCATCTTGAGGCAACTTATCGTAATAGCAATAGAACAGAGAACAACAGACTGTTAAAGTCACATATGAACAGTTCTTCAGATTAAAATATAACATAAACAACAGAACAGAACAAGTTTAACAAACTCTCCATCTCACTCCAATCACTAAATCCATCGAATTCTTCATCCTCGGTGTCACTTCTGAGCAACTCCGGAGGTAAACAGAGCGCCGCTTCCTCTTCTGTGTAGCTGTCGTCAGACTCAGCATCAGTTCCAGTTAGAATTATTCCGGCCTTTTTGAATCTCGAAAGGATGGTTTCTGTTGTTACTGAATTTCAGACTTTGTCGATCCATCCAATGACTTCCAGGAAAGTTGCATGGTTCCCTGTTGTTCTGAAGCTGTGTTCTTCATCCTCGCTTTCCACCAGTCCCTCACAAGTTTCCTGCTCACTTCAGACTTTCTTTCTGATGCTCGATTACCGTATTTCACTATTGCATAAGGACAGCGGCTTTTTCTGCAGGAGACATGCGTGCTAGAGAGATAGAAGTGACATTGGTAAAGAAGTAATAGTAGCACTAGATACTGACACACTAGCCTAGAGTCTCTCGCGGCTGTCAGTGTGAACATATTTATATAAAAGTCGCACCAGGGTGTCACAAACCATGAAAACAAGTGCGACGTATAGTCTGAAAAATACGTAATACTTTCTGAGAGTCCGTCTCTACTCGAATCATAAACCGCACTCAAAAAGAAAATAGATGTTTCTGAAACCCTATAGGATCAATTGTCTTTGTAACATTAGCTGACAACAGATGGTTTTAAGCCAGAAGCCAACACAAATTTGAATTACAATGAGCCTGTCTAATAAACGCCATGCTGAGCCAATATAATTAATAGGTATAAATAAAATATATTAAAATGCATGAACCCGACAAACAGCAATTAAGACAAGGCCGTAAAACTTATAATCAGTAAATGCTTGAGATGTCGTTACAAATAATTAAAATGGTAGTAAACAGCGGTCTATTTAGATTTTCATGAGTCGGTGCATGTTTAGAAGCTGAAACCCTGATGAGCAGAGGTTGTTGTTTATGAATGAGACAGCAGTCCCATCTCACTTCCTGGTTCACAGATTAAACGGTCGCCCCGGAGACCGCTAGCAGCCATTTTACTCTGTGATTCATAAACCAATAAAATGATTTAATACGAATGCCAAGTCACACCACCACTGCCGCTCCTGCCTGCTCCTGCTCCTTCTCCTTGTCGGTATTTGTCTAATGTAACATTGGGTTGGCTCTCCACAGATCTGACCCGTAACTTGGCCTGGTTTGGTCTCCGTGAAGATAGAAATATTTACAGAAAAGTTACACAATGCACCTTTGAATTCGCTCTAGTGTGTCAGGTTTTCGTTGATTTTACCGTAATGACCTGTTACACATTAGACTTTATTATTTGGTAGCAACAATCATTTTCGCACCATCTGTGTTCATGCTGACCTACTGTGGTACAAACCCCTCTGCTCCTCTCGTCGTCCCCCGGCTGTAAGATGGTGGTTCTGCCAGAGGCTCCGAAAGAGGCCAGAGCTGAAGTGAGGCAGATGTGAGGGGGAGGAGGGAGGGGGGTGTCGGCCATGTTTGTGGCGCTACAGCTATGGGGGCAGGCAGATGTGTGTGTGTGTGTTTGTGTGTGTGTGTGTGTGTGTGAGATAAGAGCTGAGGTGAGCCTAAGGATGATGGATTGCTAAACCTTGGACTCGTGTCCTTGGGGGTCAGTGTGGGTGCTGTTTTTCTGAATTATTATTGGCCAGTCATGCCTTCCCCAGCCGCCGTCATCCCTCCTCATCCTCCTCTTCCTCCTTTTCCTCTTCATTCTCCTTTTCCTCCTCGTCCTCCTCTTCCTCTTCAGACCTCATAGTCTTCCTCCAAACTTTGCAGATGCACCTTTGCTTCGGCTCATCACAGATGAGTCGTGTTGTCAAACAAGCCCACATCAGTGCAGAGTGCAGCACAGCTGTTCTCTCCAAAGAGAGATGGCAGGTTTCATAACGAGTGTGGAGCGGCACAGGCTCACGACTGTCTCTCCATCTCTCCATCCTCACTGTTTAATCTCCAGCCCACACCAGTGATCAAAGCGTGTTTACACACCGAGCTCTGCTCCGATTAGAGCTATGGAAGGAAGTGTTCCTTCCAAGAGCTGGCATCAGCCCGTCTCTGCTTCACAATGACATTTTCAGCATCTTAAACAATATTGTTTTCTTTTGCACATCTGAATCTAATTTAACCAGGCCCAGCTCCGCTGTGTGCTCCTCTGATGAACACCCACTGTTTTATCATTGCTGAGCACATGGAGGAGAGTGGGCCGAGGCAGAAGGCTTAGACTCTGTGATAATGTTGTACTTACTGTAACCACGGTAACACATACTTTTTTATTTCTGTATTTTTAGCTCGTGAGGAGTACGTGGCCACCTTTAAGGGCTCGGAGTACTTCTGCTACGACCTGTCTCCAAACCCGATCCAGTCGAGCAGCGATGAGATCACGCTCTCCTTTAAGACTCTGCAGAGGAACGGCCTGATGCTGCACACGGGGAAATCCGCCGACTACGTGAACCTGGCTCTGAAGAACGGGGCCGTGTCCCTCGTCATAAACCTGGGCTCTGGAGCCTTCGAGGCGCTGGTTGAACCGGTCAACGGGAAATTCAACGACAACGCCTGGCACGACGTCAAAGTCACACGCAACCTGAGACAGGTACGCCCCCAGCAGGAGGGGAGGGGCCAGTGCAACACCAACAGAGGCGTGAGGAGTGAGGGACTGTCAGATAATATTTAGGCCAGTAAGATAACAACAGAGCTCAATCAGTTTTAGATCGAAAAACATGTTTGATGAAGCATTGAAGCACTGTTTTTTTTTGCTAATCATCACAAAAATCTGCTAATTTTTGTGTTCAGTTTTCAAGAAAATGTTTGGACTTAATGTTTAAACCATTTTAATCCAGTTTAATCAGTGGCTTCAAGACTCAAAGGGAAACATTGCCTCCAAAGACACTGCTTGGCCACAGTTTTTATTACTAATTAGCTTCCCATATGAATGCTTTAAGTTATGGAGAAACTATAGGAGTATATACTAGCTAAGGATAATCTAAACTGTATACTTGTTCTGACTCTTAGCTCAGCTTGAGTCCGTAGACAGCTGTTCTTCACGATAAGCATTAAGATCTTCACAATGTTTCTGAGTAGACTTGTATTTCTATTTAAATGTATTGTATCTTTGTTATGATTTAGCTTATAACTGTCAGATCTTGTGTGAGTGGTTGGCCTGCTCCTTTAAGCACTTCCATTACAGCAGAGCAGAGCTTGTACACATGTGATGGTAGGAAGAAGGTCTATTTTACATTTACAGTAGTTTCCCCACCTGCTCCTGCCCTGTTCTGTGACATAGGTGAGTTTCTACTTTAATTGCGTGAATGGGACCGAGCGAGTGATTCATTACAATAGCGAGAATGTTAAATGAGGTGAAATTACGTGGGTGCTCCGCTGCTGTGATCTGCTGTTTTGATTGTTTTGCTTGTATGTATTACTAACTACTAACTTTACTAACCCTGCTACTGAAACTAACTCCCATCCATGGAATGTTTCATATACTAACCGAACCTCTGCCCTTTTCCTATAGCGTCACTAAGGCCTACAACTTACAACTTTTAGACTTTTTATGTTATGTTCACGGTTTTTATTTTTTGCTTTTCCTTTCTTCCTCCCCCCTTCTTCCTACAAAGCACTCAGGCATTGGACACGCTATGGTAATCAAACTACATTGTTCGGTAGTTATCATTCTAATTGTTTCTTAGTTTGGGTCTGCTCCCGTGTCTATTTCCTTTCGAAACATAGACAGCAAAACTAGCCCAAAAACAGGAGAAATCCGGTTGGTAATCTTTTATTTTAAAAAAAACTGCCCATTTCTTCCTTTGCCAACCACTTTTTTTGCTTTAAGCTTTCCCCTATGTATCAGTACGTCCTTTACTTCTTTGAATTCTTCCCAGTTTTTTTCACACCATTGCATTGTAGGCGTTATAAGGCCCCCCTTTCCCATGCTACTGTATACCTGCACGCAAAATAACTAGCCCTCCTTTTCCTGCATGGCGTGCCTTTCCGAAACCTTCCCCCTATTATTTCTGCTCCAACGAAGGTTCCTCCCTCTTCTACCTCCTTGCTGTTTTTTGTTTTTTTTATGACTCGATTCGCCCTCTTCTCTTGCATGATCACTACTGCCTCTAACATCTCACGTCACCTCGTCTTGTGCGATAAATCTAACCACCGAGCATCCTCTTTGCCAATGCTTGCATGCTGCACAGAGCTGAACCAAAAAACTGCATGCGTTTCAGTGTGTGGAATGAAACATCTAACACCTGTATATGTTTAAACAAGTGTGGTTTTTATATTCATTTTCATTCAAATTCGCTGATCTGACCAACCCCCAAACCACAAACTAACTTACTAACATCATAATCACCTCGGTAATACACGACAAAGCATCATCACATCATTAGTCTAACTGCATTCAGTCATAACAATAACATCACAAAGCATGGTCTGATCTGGCTTTGGAGGCCAGCAAAGAAAATACTAACACAGTACTAACAAAATACTAACAAAATACTAACACAATACTAACACAGTACTAACACAATACTAACAAAATACTAAATAATCAACAATCAGAGGTGGGTAAACACAAGCAAGACTATAATGACTTAATAATAGTGCTTAAAGGTGCACTGTGTATCTTTCTGGTAGTCTTCATGGAAATGTTATTGCTTTGTCTAGAATGTCCCACAGTATAGCATTAAACGCATCTATTTCTGTAGATATAAACCCGCAATGCTTCCAGGCCAAGTTACAGGTCAGGTCTGTGGAGAGGCAAGCAAACTAACTGTAGGAATGCATGTTTATCATAGTGTTTTTGTGAATTAAAACAGCTGTAACTGAATAAAAGCAACACAGATAAGTTTAATGCCACACTATGAAACCTATCAGGCAAAGCAGCAGTATCTCCATGGAAACAAACTAGCAGAAAAGTTACACAATGCACCTTTAGGTGAAGTAATCCTCCAAAAGGATGCACCTAATTTTTCAATGCTATGGCATAATATATTAACTTCTGTCCAACATTTCCTTTGTGTAGACAAGTAAAATACAAAAATTAACTCTGTAACTGGGTGATTTTATCACTCAAATGAAGGTTTAATAAAAATAAAAACTAGGCATATATACATTTGATACTGTGATTTGATTTGTATTAGTTTTAACATTATAAAACAAACAAACAAACAAGAAAAAAACAAATTCCGGTATCAAATTAAAGTGGATATACCCAATTTATTTCCATTCACTACTTCTGTTTTTCACATTTTGAAGACAGTGCCTATATTATTTTAACATAAAATACCAATACATTTAGTTGGTTATAAGTAACACAGAAACGTTCATGGTGAAAATGACAAAGCGGTACTAAAAATATACTCAATTAGGATTATTAAAGTACTTCAAAAGTCAAATTTGGTTTTAAAAAAAAAGTCAATAATACCCACCTCTGTTAACTTTACTAACAAAACGCATGTATGAGCATTTTTGATATGGTATTAAAATAGGGCTGGGCAATATGGGAGAAAAATGAATCAAATGTTTTCTCTCATATTGATCTCGATTTTCAATTTTCAATTTTATTTAGTGTTCAAAAACAGAGTTAAAATGTCTCTTATAGTACTGACTTCATGAACATAAACAATACAGACTTTTAATCAGTTCTGTTTATTACAAAATCTTTCGTCTGTTCCAAACTTGATATGTTTACTGACATTTTATTATTGACAGTAGAATTTTTAATAATAAAAATCAATAAAAAACACAGATTCTCCCATAATTTCCCAGCCCTATCTTAACACACGAGTGATTCTCAACAGGAGGGCTCTAGACCTCACAGCCTGTTACAATGATACACTAAATAACTCATAAATATTGCTTTTAGTTTGATCTGGGTCAAATGCTAAAGACGACCCAGGTCTGTATCTGCTATTGAGCTAAAAGCCCTTTGTGAGCTATTCTGGGGTAAAAAAAAAAAAAAAAAATCTGAATTATTAAAGTTAATAGCGGAGAGAGCGCACTGGACAATGTATAGGTTTAGGTCTATAGAAAGAGTTAGGTAACAATGAAGAAAGAAAGATCGAATAGATAGTAGAAAGACTGTAAAATAATACTAAAAAGTCAAAAAATATAAATATACATGATATAGTTTGATGACTAGGCTACATGCTAACATTTGTTGTCAGAGAGTAGTCACGAATAATTATTACATTGCTCGATCTCAGTTTGTTTTGGTCATGAAAAAAAATTGAAAATGACTTTTAGGATTAATTTGCACATAAACAAAGCAGATGTTCATTGTTTCCAGTTTAATACACAGAAAATTGGTCAAGTTTCTTCTTCCAAAATCTGAACTGACGCAGATTTGGCTGTAGATAAAAAACAAACGGAAAATTAGATTTGATTAAATTTTTTATGATTTGCACAGTGTGAATTTGAAGTTAAAGGACTGATTCAATGTTATACACAAAATAACACGTGACACTCATAAGTATTCGCTTGTAGAAGAGAAAGAAAATGTGTAAACAAAGGATAACTTGATGTGTTTTTGTGTTTACATAATATAGTATAGTGTAGTTCTATCTCTAACTGATTAACTTTCAGCTACATTTAACATGAAATTGAAAGTAAAAGATGAACAAATATGCAATTTCTCAGATAAAATAATGTGTATTGAGTAACAATTTAATAAAAGTTAAGGTATTTACTCTTAAAACTGGCTAAGGCTAATCGTTTATACTAGTTTTAGCATGTTAGCATGTTAGCATGTAGCCTACTTCCAGTGAGCTTAACTGAAAAAGTACTAAAAGGTGCACTGTGTAACTTTTTGTTTAGGGGGCACCTGCTTTTTTCGATAGAGGTGTCATTGCTCTGCCTGCAATGTTCCACAGTGTGACATTAAATAGCTTTACTTTAAGATTATTACGTTACATTTGGTTTTATCGCTCAAAAACGGCCATAAAAACAGGCATTCTGACTGTGAGCGGGGTTAACTCTCCACAGATCTGACCTGTAACTTGATCTAGTTTGGTCTCAGTGAAGATAGAAAGGTTTAATACCATACTGTGGAACATTCCAGAAGAAGCGATAACATCTCTACAAAGAAAAGCATTTGATGGAAAAATTACACAATGCACCTTTCAGGATTGAGACAAATAAAAACAAGTATATGTAGGCCTGATTAACCCAATTAATAAAATAACGTGAATTTAAGCCTATACACATTTAAAACTATTATAATTTTACCTACAATACTGAAAAATGTATGCAGTGTTTATGTTAAGACTGAAAAATATACACAAAGTTTAGGTTATAGCAGATAGCCGTGCAGGTAGCCTATAATGTTTATAATAGTTTCTAAACTGAAGGGGCTCTTAAAGTTGAAACAAAAATATCTTTAGTCCTAATCAACCCAAATTAATAAAACAACTTGAATATAAGCCTATGCACATTTAAAACTATACAAGACTGAAAATTGTACACAAAGTTTAGGTTACAGTGCAGATAGCCGATAATGGAAATAGTTTCTGAACTGAACGAGCACTTAAAGTTGAACAAATTGTGATAAAACTAAAATATCTTTAGGCCTAATCAACCCAAATTAAATAAAACGAATTAAATATAAACCAAACCACATTTAAAACTACTATTATTTCACATAGAAGACTGACAAATGTACGCAAAGTTTAGATTACAGCAGATAGCCGATAATGGAAATAGTTTCTGAACTGAACGAGCACTTAAAGTTGAACAAATTGTAAAAAACAAAAAATATCTTTAGGCTAATCAACCTAGATTAATAAAACAACTGGAATATAAGCTTATGTACATTTAAAATTATTATTTTTCACATAGAAGACTGAAAAATGTACGCAAAATTTAGATTACAGCAGATAGCCGATAATGGAAATAGTTTCTGAACTGATTCACTTAAAGTTGAGACAAATTGTAGAAAAAAATAAATAAAAAAATAAAAAAAATACATATATGTGTAGGTCTAATTAAACTAATTAATAAAATAACTTCAATATATGCTTATGTACATTTAAAAGTATTATTATTTCACATAGAAGACTGAAAAATGTGCGCAAAGTTTAGGTTACAGCTGATAGCCTTGCATTTAAAGACACTTAAAGTTGAGATAAATTGTAAAAAAGTATATTTATCTGTTGGTCTAAGTCACCCAATTAATAAAATAACTTGAATATATGCTTATGTACATTTAAAACTATTATCATGTCACATACAAGACTGAGAAATGTCCGCAGAGTTTAGGTTACGGCAGATTGCCTCGCAGGTATCCCATAATGGAAATAGTTGTTAATTGGTGAAGACTGCTCATTGAAACTTGCGGCTGGACTTAGCCTCTGAGCTAACGTTGACATTTACCAAGACTGAACGGCTGTAATTACTACAAATACACCACTTTGCACCACACACTTGAGCCATTCATACCAATTAAAAGTCCCCAGCAGCTCCACTGACTTTCCCAATCCAATTCAATCACACAGACGCACACATATTAGCATTGGGGCTAATTTGGCTGGTCAGCGTGTAGCTTTAGTCAGCCTAGCGCGCTGCCTTTGGTGTGAGTATATAGCGTGTCCTTTCCCTGTGCTTTGTTGTGTAGGTGACCATTTCTGTGGACGGCATCCTCACCACCACCGGATACACCCAGGAGGACTACACCATGCTGGGGTCCGACGACTTCTTCTACGTGGGCGGGAGTCCCAGCACGGCCGACCTGCCCGGATCTCCTGTCAGCAATAACTTCATGGGCTGCTTGAAAGAGGTAAAGACACTGGCAGGAGTAGTGCAGGGTTCCCACGGGCATGGAAATCCAGGAAAAGTCATGGAAACTAAAAAGTGTCATTTTCCGGGGCCTAGAAAAGTCATGGAATTTTGTACGTTCAGTGAAAGTTTTGGAAAAGTCATGGTATTTTAGTATCTGTTTCACGCAACTACAGCGTTCTCATTAGCTTATTATGATTATTTTCATTTACGTTATTTACATTATTTACAGTATTTAGACTTAGACTTAGACAAACTGGACAAACCACAAGGTAAATTATTTGGACACAGTAGCTCACACATCACAATAAATATAATAACAAAGAGCAAAAATATAAATGGTAATAATAAATTCTAAACAAGTAGCAAGAAGCATGGTGTCAAATAAGACATAATTATATAAATGTAAATGTACTGTAAAAATAGAAAGATACGTCATAAAATAGACGTTATATGTTAAAAAAAAAACTATAATACCAAACCATAAGGTGAGTGGAAAGAGTTAACATTTCATATTTAGCCCTAAAAGTCTGATCAGTTCTACACATGTAGGTGCCGTAAAGTCATGGAAAATTCTCTTTAGGTCATGAAAAAGTCATGGAAAAGTTTTGAAATTTAGTCAGTTGAAAAAGAGTGGGAACCCTGTAGTAAGTAGTAGGTACAAAGTAGTAAAGTGATGTACTTAAAGGTCCCATATTACACAAAATTTACTCTTGTGAGCTTTAACTTATGTTTTAATGTTGTTACCTCTTCAAAAACATGGAGTTGTATTTGAGAAACCCTTTATTTTTAGTTTGTCTACATCTCTAAAGCTCAAAAATGCTCTTTCCAGTTTGTGATGTCATGAAGTGGCAGTTTTCAAGTGAACAGCTCCTTTTAACTTTTGTTTAGTAGAGATTGGAAATTCCAGGTCTGAAATAATCCAAATGATTCTAGTGAAGGTGTTTGGATCATGTAACTATAATAAAATCTGGAAGGTGAACCCAAGATGGCACCGTATTGTTTTCAGTGGCCTGTGCTCAATGGCGCATGGGCCCAAAAAAATGTTTCACTTCCTCAACACGGGCGAGCTCCTCCCACCTGTGTGACGTCTGTAACGGGCACGGCTTGGAGCGTTTGGACCAATCAGAGAGAGAGCTGCTAGAGTGGGCTCAGAACCGGGCTAGGCTAAGTCTTACAAAGGTAACTTCTAGGCGCTTTGAGGATTTAAAAATTTGAAAAGTTTATGTTGTGAAAATAGAAAAGAATCTTTACAAAATCTGACCTTTGTAAAAGTTGTCAATGTCCTGTCAGCCAAACACGGGAAATTAGAATTTCCAAAAAACATTGCGCTCTATTGGAGAATTCTGCAGTACCTGGAGCAGCCACTAGTTGGTCTGAAGCCAGACCAGAGGGGGAGGGGCTTATCCACTTCTTATTATAGATCCATGGTATGGAGTTTAAAAACACAGTGGAGAACTTCCTATATTTTTAAATGACATCACAAGGTCGAACAGAGTGTTTACTGTTTCAGAGAAGAACTATGTAGGGTCTGTGTGTTAAACATGTGTGAATGAAATAAAATACAACTCCATGTTTGTTTGTGATGTGGAAACAATATTATAACATAGATCAGAAAATAGTGTAATATGCGCCTTTAAGTATACATTTTAAGTATCTGTACTTTACTTAAGTACATACACTTGGATTCTTTTTACTTTTACTTCCACTACATTTGAGAGCAGGTATATGTACTTTATACTCCACTACATTTCTGAACAGGACTGAAAAATAAAGGTATTTTTTATTATTGTGGCAGACCTGCTGAAAAGATGGGAGGTGGGCTTTATTTTTTTACATATTCATCATTTGAGCAAACAGAAATATAACAACAAATAAACAAATAAAAACAGCTGGAAATAAATGATTGAAAATTCAGCACAAATCTGAAACTTGAAACTTGATAAGATGTCAAAATCTGCTCAAAATGTGTTTACTTTTTACACTTTAAGCACATTTTTAAACAGATACTCGAATACTTGTACTTAATTCTTACTTAATACTTATTTTTTTCATGTGATACTTTTACTATTGTACTTTTATTTAAGTAACAAAACTGAGTACTTGTTCCACCACTGGCTAATGATATTTAAGTGTAGTGGACAAAAAGCAGGCCATGTTGAGGTGTTGATTTATTAGTGTTCCTCCTATAGTCTAAGCTTACACATATATAGGTCAGAATAATAAATGTAGGCTATACTAAGCAGGGGCCAAGTACAAAAAGGGCATCTATATGTGTTAAAATGTAAAAATATTATATGGTTCTATTCAAAATATTAATACTGACATTAGTTGGTTTGACAAGGTACAATTTAACGTAATGAATGAATGAGAAGTTAGCACATCAATTTCGTGAAATGGAGCAGGGAGGCAAAGAGGGAGCAGCCCAAGAACAGAGGAATGAACAGAGAAAAATCAAGCACACTATTTAAAGAAATCAATTATGCAAAATCAGTTTGAGCTTTCCACTCTGTTTTAACGTTCCTTCATCAGAAAACGTGAGGCTATAGATGTCATCCAGGCATGTTTGAGTAATTTAGTGATCTCTTTAAGCCCCTCCTTATGGTTCTGTGCAATGCTCCTACAAATATGCATCATCCACACTCCTACACTGCTGGAAAATTCTCCATAAGTTTACAAAAGCGGGATATAAATCTGTACGCAGCAATTTAACAAACCTGATGCGATGTGCGGTAGTTTCATTAACCGAAAGCACTGCGACTGTGTTGTGATGGCGCTCTGATGGGGGAGTGACTTAGAGCAAAGAGCAAATATAGAGTAGGCTCGACAAAAATGAAAGTGAAACATTTAGCATTTTCAAAACAATAGAGGGTTACATGTTGATCTAAATTAGCTTGATTCATCAGTCGGTTTCACTTCGTAGAAACCGTCTGACCTCGCAGCATTAGGATTCGTTCACTCCATGGTAGGCGGGTATGTTTTTTATTTAAACAGTCGCTGCTGTTTGGTCATGACGTATGTAATGCGTCGCTAATGGGGCTAACTGGTATATTAAGCTTTTCCCAAATCCCGTAGGAAGAAGGACAATAACGTCTTTCCCCTTGATAAAATTCACCAAACATTCTCTTTGTTCTGGCTTTAAATCCTCGATCTGGGGAATCGTTGCCAACACAGAATGTCTGTCTTTGTCTACATCCGTCTCGACCACTTTGTTTACTGTTGTGTTGTACCACAAAAGGGACCCAGACAGACGCTTGAGTTGGACATCATGGCTTCACAGCTCTTCACTGATTGGCCGGAGCGCGATCTACAACTTCCAGGGTTCTTGCAAAACCGTCTAGTGTGTTCCGATTCCTGACCTAGTTGCTGGAGAGAAATGAAATTGAGTGGAGGCACTAGGTGGCGCCAGTCTCCGCTCAATTTCATTTCTCTCCAGCAACTAGGTCAGGATTCAAAATACACTTGATGGTTTACAAAACACCCGGAAGTGCAAGTTCAGGCACACAGATGAGCAAATAAACTAAAAATAAACTAAAGTATTAAATGCATTTAAAAAAAAAATTGCAATTTGATAAAAAAACATAGAATTTTGGGGGGGGGGAATGGATCAGTATTTACCATAAGAATCAATACTTTTCGATACCTTGTCTGTCTTTATGTATTCATTTCATAACTGACATATATTTAAACTAAACCATGCCAAATCAAGTTTATAACAAGATTAAAAGTCCTTAATTACACAAAATTGACTCATGTGAGATTTAACTCGTTATAATTCATCAAAAACATGTTGTTGTTGTGTTTTTACTTAAAAATGTGTTAATGCAACAAAACACAACTCCAGGTTTGTTTGTGATGAGGAAACAACATTATAACATAGATCAGAAAATGTAAAGTAATATGGCAAATCTAAAACAAGATTAAATAAAAGGCTATATCAATACTAAACCCAATCCTCCAGTTTCTGCAGTATCACTATCAAACTTTATAGACACAAGGGCACTTTCAAGTCTTATAATTCAAACTGTCCAACCAAAACCCTCTTCCTGAATACAAAATGTGTCCGAAGTCACAGTCCATTGCCCTGCTATTTTTAAAACATTAAAAATCGATTATTTAATGCTACACTGCAATGATACGCATCGCTTTCTCCTCGTAGCATTTAGTCACACTCCTGTTTCACTCATATTATCTCCAAAAGCACACACTACCTCAATTAAAACAGAAAAAAACAAAACAATAAAACAACAACAACACTATGGCTATGGAGGTCAGCAAAGAAAATACTACTACAAACAAAACACTAGCAAAATACTTATTATACTTAAGGATGCATTGTGTAACTTTTCCGATCGAGAGTCTGTCAAAGGCTTTTCTTTGTCTGGAATGTTTCACAGTATGGCATTAAACCTTTCTATCTTCATGGAGACCAAACCAGACCAAGTTACAGGTCAGATCTGTGGAGAGGCGACCCCACTCACAGTCAGAATGACTTTTTTTTTTTTAGGTATTTTTGAGCTATAAAACCACCTATAATTTAATAAAATTGTTTAATGTCATACTGTGGAACATTCCAGACATATTCATAAAACAAGCTGGTGATGGATCCTCCACCAGAAGGTTATTAGTTATTACAAACTAGTAACTAGTTCTGTATTTCACATTTTGAAGACAGTAGGGGTGTAACGATATCCAAGTCTCATGATAAGAAATCGTCACGGTATGAACCTCACGATACGATATTTATTGTGATACTGTGGGAAAGCTCACGATATGGTGGGGAGACTTATGATTAGGGATATAACAATATCCAAATCTCTCGGTACAATATTTTCATGATATACATCTCACAATATATTTGTTTTGATTTAACAAAACTGTGAATATGCTACTATATACAAAGAACTAAGACTTAAAAGTGTTTAGAACTGTGTTCAAACTTTTTTCATCAAGGGTCACATATCTAAACACAGATGAAACAGAGCACTGATCGAGGGCTGT